ATGAGAAGTCTCCTCGTTTACCTTATTTTTACCTATTATTATACAAATGAAGGTATGTGATTTGAGATGGGTGTGGAATTTCAATAGCAATTCCAGAAAATTATGAAGAGCAGGAATTCTATATAGGGCACCCAAGAAAGCCTGTTCTAAACAGTATTGGTTAATAAATTTGATATTACGTGTTACAGCTAGGGGTTTTCCCTCTTGACCTCTTTCCTCGGCAGTTTTTAGACATGGGTGCTGCCCTGTTCAGGGTTTCACCAGCATCTCTTTTTTGCTTAAGTGTTTCTCCTCTGAAAAATAAGCTAAATGTGTGTTGATGCAGATTTTCTCTTTCAAATTATGCTTCATCTTTTTGAAATTCCTGCAGAGGCTACAGTTTTGTTCATTACGTTGAAAATACATTTCGGTTTTGCAGACAGCATCAAGGGGCAAATAGTTCTGTAGCAGGCTTCCTTAAGGAAGTTGGAGCAGAGCTTGAATACAGACAAAGAGCTTTTCAGGTGGTTCAGCTGGTCCTGCCTTCCCACCTGTAGGAAAGTAGAGTTTGAAACACAACCAAGAAAAGTTGATGCCCATCAGTAGCACTTCTAAGTCTGCTGTCAGAAATCCAGAGGGAACCAACACAGCTTGAGTTTGGAGGATGAAAAACCAGGAAGGCTTCTTAAGTCAAAATGTAGCAGGGGGCTTCAAACTATTGCTTTTGGCTTCTCTTTCTCTCACTTACAAATTTCTGTTAAACTAATGTGATTTCACAAAGGTTTGCATTCAGAATCTGGAATGAGCTTCAAATAAAGCTTGAGGTTTTCCCACTCATAAATTTGTTAGAAAATATTTTGAGGGTTTTTTTCCTTCTTTATTCTCTACTTTAAACACAGAAAAGTAAATACAGTTTATGATCACTAGGAAGATGCCCAATTGAAAATACTGATATGTATTTTAGTATATTACTGCTTATGTAATTGTAAATATACCCACAGTTTGAAGTCTAAATTACACACATCACTAAAATACTGCATAATTGGATGTATATATCCTTTGCAGTATCTCTCTCATGGGTACTTCTATTTTATTTAAATTATTTTCTCTCTCTAGGCGAAACTCTTAATTGAGTGGAGCTAATAATTATTTCATGTGGATGAAGTTTATTCCGCTGTAATTTAGATAAAATATGCTTGATCCTTGGTAGCCAATATTCATAAGGATGGGACCAGTTTCTAATTTAACTCTCCCTCCCCAGTGCAGAATTCCCTGTGTGGAGGTGAAGCCATGGGAAGCCCCTTTCCACCCTGCTCACTTCCTCCAGCAGCACAAGGCTGTATTTCTCTTTGCACGCTGAACCTCCGCTCTGTTTTGGCCGCTGTGCCCATAGGATGCCTGGTAACACTTTGCCTACATTTGAACAGGGACGTTGCTGTTCTAGGAGGCAGCATCGCTGGAAGGTGCGAGATCAGAGAACCAACTCCCTGTCTTCATGTTAGTGGCTGCAGTGGAAAAATCTAGCCGCTGTGGTTAGTCACAGAGTAATACCAGCAATTCCCGTGGGGCTGGAAAAAAGGGCTTCTGAAAGGCTTTGCAAGGTTGGGCCTCTACAGCTATTTTCCTAACCCCTAACATTCAAAAGTCATTAATCTAATGTAAAGATTATAAATTCTCTGTGCTTTTGATTTGTTTGTAGGGCCCCCAGTGAACCTAAAAAAGATAGAAGTGAAAAAAAAAAGGGAATGCAAACTTTACATTTTTGCATCACTACTTAACACCAGGAGCTGAAACTGTTAAGAAAAATGAAAAATACTGACTTGTGATAATGCACAAGCGTTGTCGGCATTAGAAATTCGTGTATCAGTCATTGGTTTTTTCCAACCTTCGTGCAACAAATTTTTGTTGTCGATTACCCCCACGTGCTGTATCGCTGAAAGAAAGATTTGCATTTCAAGACATTCCCCATGACTGACTGTCAAGACGACACTGCTGACAGGATTTGCACTTAGTTTTCCTGTGTGTGCTGATAGAGTCTTCATGAGGGGCTTTGTAGTTCAGTCAAAAATCGAGAATTAATTGCATAGTTGAAGATTATCAGTAGCTGCAGTTTATAACAGTGACGTGAGTTACAGCTGGTCCTACTCAGTCTGTCTGAGTCCTAGTTTTCCTATACAGTGCCACTTAAATAAGTGTGGCTCGTGGCCCAAATGTGTAACTTCTAAGCTCTCTGTCTACTTGAATTCTTACAGAATTAAGTTACAGATCCAATGAAGTCCTTGTGATTTTTAATGCATTTCAAAATGCTTAGCCAAATGTCATGAGTAGTATAGCATATGTTGTCACCATCTTTGGGAGAGGCGTGTAGGTAACGTTTGTGTCTAAATAGCATATTTGTATTTTCTCCATTCGTTACACTTCTTCCTTGAGCAAGCACTGTGTTTATTGATCCCACGAAGGCGTTGGGCCCTTCGTGGAAAAGAGTGTCTAAGGGAAAAGAAAATGCAGAGGTCAGATGGTTGTGAGGAAAAGCTAGTGATGGAACAGAAGCAGTCAGGGATCAAAGGGTCGAAATAGAGAAACGGGGAAGCAGAGGGGAAAGCAGCCACTGTCCGGGACTGGATGTGAGATTTGAGAGATCCCTGATCTGTCCTGGTATTGCAGCTTCTGTGTTTATTGCCATTATAGTAATTAAAACCATTCTCTTTTTAATTTGTGTAAATCCTCACCTGTGTGAGTAAAAGATTTTTATAGATGTTATTGGAGTTTCGTATGAACTCCATGGTTGTAAGAGTGAAAAAAATCACCAACAAATATTCTGTAGTATGTGAAAAATAATCATTAAAATAGTCTCTGTAAACTGGCAACATGAGGAAGCAGCATATAATTAATGTGCTTCCACACCATTGATGGGCCATATCTGCAGCCCCTTCATTTCTTGCACATGGAGATTAATCCCATGCCCTCCCATAGTCAAGATGGTATCAATGGCTGAAGCAGTGAGGGGCTGAGAGCAGGAAGCTAGTATCTGTATCCATTATAATATTTTGCAGTGTGAAACCAGAGATCACTTTATGCTACCAGGAACAGATGGGAAACAGATATCATCACTGACTTTATTAAGAGCTCAACTCTATTTTTAGAATCTTTTAGAATTCTCTTAGAATTTTTAGAACATGTTTTCAGTTTTGTATCATCATATGGTGCCAACTCTGCTATGTTGTAGTATGGGAAGGATTGTTCAATTGTTTTTCCATTACACCTAATCTCTGCTTTTTGCCAAAAGAAGATAAGAAATATATATACACATACACACACACACACACATATGTGTGTGTGTGTGTGTATATGTGCACACATATATTCAAAATCCCACTGTAGTCCCTAGTCCAAACCAGAAATACTTACTTTGTATCCTGGTGAGTTTAAGTGGCAGTGAAAATGTTAATAGTTATTTCTAATGTATTTATTTCTATCAGATTATGCTAATCAAAGTGATTTAAAATCTGACCATTAGTTGCAACAGTCCATCTTCAGAGTCATTTTGTTTCATCATTATTCACAATGGTCTTATGTAGTGTATGAACATGCCATAAGACTACAGCTAAAATTTTAGTGACTCTTCTTGTGAAAGCGAGAAACTAGAAATCTAGGATGAGACAGTGCGATGAGCAAAGCCTTATTGCCAGCAGGTGATTGCTGGTAGGAGAACACTCAGAGGTTCTCAGAAGTAGTTCCTTTACTGTACGTCTGAGCAGCATATATTCACACTGACCTTTTAACCTCTGTCAAGGAACGTTCAGAGGAACTTTGGCTGCAGTACTGCAGATCTACAGATAGTGGAAAACGATTTGGATACATTTCAGTTTGTGTGACTGATGCTTTAATTTTCACAAAAGGTGATCTTCCAAAGGCCCTTTGCTCCATCTACACATGGAACTTTCAGTAATTCCTACAATGAATCTTCTTCTGGGTTATTGTTGTAGAATGCATAAATTCTTGCTATCGTAATTTCAGTGTGCTTTCATGTTTACTAAAATAATCTGTTGCATCACACCAAAAATAAGAACTCTTTGATTATTTTCAGTGTTCTAGATTGCAGGATGGCCCTAGGTTTTATGTAACTACTGCTTGAAAAATAATAGAAGAATGTTTTGAGTATAGAACTAGAAACAAAATGTTACTCATCTCATTAATTTACAAAGCAGAATATATACTAGAATATGTATTTTTGTATAGTGTGTCTGTTACTTTTATTACTTCGCCCTTGTACACCAATATAATTCTTGGAATAGAAAAATTAATACGGTCCATTAGTTGATACAAATTATAAACCCTCTAGATTTGAAAGTTCTAGGAATATCTCTTACATTTGTAGTTGGGTATGATTTGTGATGCTGTATATAACACATTGTAATATGTGGCGTTATGTTCCAGAAACCTTAAATCATTATTTTCTTGCCTGTAATTTTCAAATATAGCACTTGAAATTCTGTGTACTTCTAATAATATATTGGTAAATAAGGCAGCATGAAAATTATGTGATAGTAAGAATGTGGGTGGAGGCATGGGAACAGAACTGAGACTGCTGTTTCTCAGTATTGAAACAGTAGATTGCAGACTTGTGTTTTTCCTTCTAAATATAGTGATCGTGGAAAAGTTGTGCAGCTGTGAGCATTGCATGCTCTTTTAGATCAGTCTTTTAATACACCTTGATCCTGGCTTTTGCTTGCTGCACCTTCATAAGGAGCCCTGGTCTTTGCCTTTGGGTTTGTAGTTTAGTAAAATGTCTAGCAGTGAAACAGCAGAAATTATTTCATTTGTGTCATAAAACCTGAAAACTGAGAAGCAAATACACTAGTTATGCTTCCGTTGAATCATTACGGGAGACTGTTTAATCTCATTTTCAGAACTGTTGCACTGTAACCGTTTCATAGCTGTTCTCAATACTCTGTGGGCTCTTGCTGTATCACTGAGAGAACACTGCTCTGTCATTTAACACATAGTTTTCTGTATTGCAGAAAAAGCAGCAGCAGCTAATGAAGATGAAGTGCAAAAAGCAGATGTATCATCTACGGGTCAGAGTGTCATCGACAAGGATGCACTTGGACCAATGATGCTTGAGGTAAAAAGCACAAATTCCTTTATTAATGCAGTTTTTCTCCTCCTAGGATGAATAAAATGAAACGGTGTAGTCAGAGGTCACTATAAAGGAATGGTCAAGAGAGACAAGCCATCCTGGCTACTTAAGATTATGTCATTTATGAGCAGACAGCATATTTCTGTTGGATTCAGTGATGAAGCTCTCTTTAACTTGGGGTAGGGAGAGAGGTAATTCTGCTTCTTTGTCATACAGACAACTTGAGGGGCTTCAGCTGGTGGCAAGTCTTGAATGTCTGCTTGCTCATGCTTCATTTGTTCTGAACCACAACAGCTATGGAAGACCTGTATCTAAACGTTGACTTTATATATACAGTAGTGTACAAGTGAATAATATTCTTCTAATATTGCATGTTATTACTATACTGTTTTAATGTTTTATCATTTCAGCATTTACAGTAGGACTCTTCCCTCTAGAATATGAAAAATAATCTAGGAGAGCTTTTCAAGACATGTTATTTCAGTTTGTTTGATTCAGATTTCTGTCTGATTGTAGCTGTTATTTTGATACTACAAAAGTCTGCACGGTTAAAACCTAGTTTCCAAATGTATTAATAGTAATGTTGGGTAGGTATGTTATCTGGGATCCCAATGTCATATGCTGCTGTCCTTTGGCACTGCTGCTTTATCTGCTTAAGCTCACTTGCAAACTGTTTATTCCTGTTCTGGCTGTGGACTTTATCTGTAAGGAAGAATAAATGTTACTTTAGATAACATGAAACACAAACTCTGAATCAAGCTGAGGAACCACCTTTGGCAGAAGCACAATTATTCTGTCATTTCTGAATGCATTTATAACAGTCTTAAGTATTTGCATTATTTTTCATAATTTGTTATATGAAAATGTGGGTTTCTATAATGCATACCAAATAAAGGCTCCAAATTCACAGTACTTAACATAAGGAAGATTAGATAGGTTAGAGTGAAAATATGGTTCTTTGAAAAGGGATAGTAACGAATTAATTGACTTAATATTTGTTTTACATGTTCTCTGAATTGAATGTTGCTGGTTTTGCAATCAAACAAGGTTAAACATCTCTTACGTTGCTATGTTAAAATTGTATCTTTAATTTCCTATTAGTTTAATTGTAAGGACCTGTCTTAATCACAGGGAAAATAAGGATAAGATTATTGTTTTTCCTGGCTTATCTTGCATGACTGGCTATTGCAGCAAACATGACATGTAAAATCACCCGTCTGTCCTGTTATTCCATTTAATTTAGTTTTCCTTTGCATTGAAACCATTGCATATTAACAATGAAAGATTGTGGAGCTTAATTAATGAACCATGGTCCTTTTGCACCAGGAAGCTTAAAAAGGACTGAAAGTTGCTATACATTTGCTGCAAAGAAACTACAGATACTTTATTTATGTCTTTATCATCTTCGGGAAATGCAATTAAGTTATTTCATCTTTACAGAACCCCTTTATACAACCTTTATAAAAAAACCTACCTTTTTCATTGCCAAATAATAATAAAAATGGCAATGCTGATGAACAGCTTATTAGTTGATTTGGTTTAGAAATATAATTGTCTGTTTTTATTAAAGAATAAAACTGAAGAATCCTCAAAATAGTGAGTATTTCCAGCTGAAGAAAGTGAGTAATGCATTATGCAGCTGCCTCTGAGGAATATTTTAATATATTTCTTGGTTAAAGCATAAAGTAAATAGGAAGAAAGTGTGGAAAAATAGTCGAGAGAGCTGACAACATCTCAAAGAACACAAATGTGTTTTCTGTTCCAATATGTCATCTAAAGTAATATCTGTTTTCTTGTTTTCTCTTCGGTCATGTTGTCCATTACTTGTTCACCCATTGTCCCAATAGCTCTGAAGAAAAGTTGTTGATTGTGATGTCTTACATCTGGAGGCAGACTTCAGAAGTTATTGCAAAAGTGGAAGGTTGAAAATATTTAAGTGGTTTGGTACATTAACTTGTTCAAAGCCTGCTGCTGCTTATCTGCAAGATTGTTTTATTAATAGAATCGAATAGAAAGAAATGGGAGACTGAGATAGAAGGGCCTTTGTTACTCTGGGCTCAGATGACCACTTCTGTGGTCAACCCAAGAATTGGGCAGCTGTGAGGAAACAGCACAGAGCACTTCCTTGCCAAAGGAATTGCCACACTAGGAAACAGCAGGGAAAACTGAAGATTATTGTGGGATGCCAGTAACTCTCATAATCTCTTGCTTGCCGTCTCTGCCTTTGAAAATTTTCTCCTTAGGACTCTAAAAAACATCTGTGATGGCTTTGGTTTTGCAATCCCTTTGAGTTGATGCAAGTGCAGACAGCTGCCAAGCAGAATGGTTCAGTCAAATGCACACCCTTCTGCCAGCCCTAAACACCATGTGGTTCCATGGTGGGCCAGTTCAAGTGACTGATGTGGCTAGCCTTTTTTTTTTTTTCGTTCCTTAATTAGTTTTCAGCCAACTCAGTTCTCTAGTCCAGCTTGTCATATCCTCAGACAGTACAGGATGCTGTCATGGTGTAGAAGGGATTAAACCAAAGAGGTCATGCTTACATTGGCTTCAGGTGGTGGGGAAATGCAGTCTAAGACACTAATCCATACCATAGAAAACTATGTTAGAGCCTTAATTAATTAATTTGTAAATTTTTGTTAGTTAAAGTAAATACTATT